TCTGGGGTGATGAAAATGCTCTGGGATTAGGTAGTGGTGGTGGTTGCACAACCTTTTGAATGTAACCTGAATTGTACATTTTAAACTGATCAAAATGGTGAATTTGGTGTTATGTGAATTTCCTATCAATTAAGAAAAAGGCACCAGAGGGAGTGACGAGGCACTTGGAGTAGGTAGACAAAGGGTGCCCCCTTTCCACGTCCTTGCCCCAGCCCTGGGCTCACACCCTTTGATGTAGAGCCTGGCTATGCCTCTTGTTACTGGCAGGCAGGAAAGGACAAGCAGGATGCAGAAGTGCCAATGGCCCCTCCCTGGGCTGGCCCTTGTTTTCTAAGCAGACGCTCTAGGTCTGGGGAGGCTCAGCCCTCCTCAGGGTCATCACTGCCCCCTGAGGTCCCAGCAACCCCATGCTGACACTTCTTGCCTCACAGCTCAGGGAAGCCACAGATTTTGGGATCCACAAGCTAAGTCAGGGCCTCTCAGGTGCAAGGCACCACCCTCCTCACGATCCCCGGTTTTGAGAATGTCTGAGGCCTGGTTGACCGTTCTCCAGCTTTTCCCTCTCCTTCAGTCCTTGGTTTCTGAGATCATGCTCTTGGACTTCAGCCACTAATTTTTTTTTTTTAGATCTCTGCAATTTTTTTTAAACGCTCCCTGTCCTTTTATCTTGAGCACCAAAACTTCAGAGCTCAAAAGTCCTTTGGGCAAAGGTTGCTGCGTGCCTTATTCGTGGTACCCAGTGCGGACCGTGGGGCTTGTCCACATGCTTATTCATTCCTGGGGCACCTGCTACGCGTCAGGCACAGTTCTTGCCATAGGTTACGTGGCAGTGAGTACAATTAAGTCCCTGCAAAATAAAGTCTCGTGGGCCTTAGATTCTAATGAAAGAAGACTGGAAAGCAGATGTGTGACATCTCAGGTGATGTTAAGTGCTTTGAAGAAAAATAGAGCAGGGTAGGGGGATAGAGTGTCGGCTCGGGTAGGGCTGGGGCTGGGGTGTATGTGTGCATAAGTGCATTTTGGGAAGACAGCAGCACCCCCTTGCTTTAAAAGTGTTTCTCAAATCATCAAAGCCCCAGCATCCTCATAGTCAGGGAACTTGGGAACAAGCAGACACACCCAGACTGCAGAGCAGGTCAGAGGGAAACTTCCTTGCAAGACCAGCCGGCCCAGCGCTGTGCTCAGAGACAGGCAAACCCCAACAGGCCCAGGGTCTCCTTCTTTTAAGGTCAAGTTTAGCTGGAATGTGAAGGGAGTAGCTTCAGCCCTTTGGGGAAAGGGAGATTGTGAGCACCCATCTCTGGGAGGGGGTGTCTGTGGCCTTTTGGGGGAAGGACCCCCTTGACCTCAATTGGATCAGAGTTGTTCAGGATCACTTTCTTCCTCCTGGAGACTCCTGGCTTTGGGATTCCGATTGCTGGAGGCCTGGCAAGACGTCACCTGACTTTGGAGGTTGTTTCTGAGGTAAAGATACCAGAATTCATACCCTTCATATGTCAGTCAGCTTGGGAGCACGTGTAGTGTCACCTTGCAAAGGACAATCCACCCCCCAGCTTTGTGACCTAGGGTAAGTCAGCTAACGTCTTTAGGCCTGACTTTACACAGTCTGAGTGCTCTAAGGCCTGCTTCACAGTGTTTGGTGAGGAGTAAATGAAGTGCTGTATGTGAAAGATTAGCTCAGGTTCTACAAATTTATAGTAATCGAAAGAGTGTGGTACCGGCATGAGGACAGACATGGAGATCCATGGGATAGAATAGAGCCCAGAAATAAACCCTCATGTGTATATGTGGTCAGTTGATTTTTGACAAGGCTGCCAAGACTATTCGATAGGGAAAAGACAGTCTCTTCAACAAATAGCACTGGGACAACAGAATGAAGTTGGACCCTTACCTTACACCATATATCAAAATTAACTGAAAATGGATCAGAGGCCTAAATAGAGGAGTTAAAACTATAAAACTCTTAGGAGAAAGTATAGGGGCAAATCTTCATAACCTTGGATTTGGCAATGGTTTCTTAAATACACCACCAAAGGCATAAGGAACAAAAGAAAAAACATAAATTGGACTTCATCAAAAGTAAAAACTTTTGTGCATCAAAAGATACTATCAAGAAAGTGAAAAAATAAACTACAGAATAGGAGAAAATATTTGCAAATCATATATCTGATAACAGTATCCAGGAAATATAAAGAACTCTGGAACTCAGCAATATGACACCAACTCAATTAAAAAACGGCCAAAAGACTTGAAAAGACATTTTACCAAAGAAAGAAAATATAGAAATGGCCAATGAGTACAGAAACAGATGTTCAACATTATTGGTCATTAAGGAAATGCAAATCAAAACCACAATGAGATAGCACTTCACACCTACTGGGATGGCCACAACAACAACAAAAAAGGAAAATAACGAGTGTTGATAAGAATGTGGAGAAGTTGGAATGTCTGAAAACTGCTGTTGGGAATGTGAAATGGTGCAGCTGCCGTGGAAAACAGTTAGTTCCTCAAAAAGTTAAACATAGAATCACCATATACCCCAGCAATTCCACTAAGTATTTACCCAAAAGAATTGAAAACAGAGACTCAAACAGATACTTGTACATCTATGTTCATAGCAGCATTATTCACACTAGCCGAAAGATAAAAACAACCCAAGTGGCCACCAAGAGATGAATGGATAAACAATTGTGCTATACACACAAAATGGAATAATATTCAGCCATGAAAAAGGAATGAAGTATTGACACATGCTACAACGTGTATAAACCAGATATAAAAGGACAAATATTGTACTAGTATCTTTATAAAATATCTAGAATAGGCAAATTCGTAGAGACAGAAAATGGAATAAAGGTTACCAGGGGCTCGGGGGACACAGAAATGGGGAGTTATTGCCTAATGGGTACAGAGTTTTTGTTTGGGATCATGAAAAAGTTCTGGAAATAGATAATGGTGATGGTTGCACAACATTTTGAATGTACTTAATGCCACTGAATTGTGCTCTTGAAAATGGTTAAAATTTGCCATGCATATTTTACCACAACTAAAACCAACCAGGACATTGTCTTGCACGGTGACTTCTCCAGTAGCATCAGGGGCCCTAGGGAAGGATTGAGAGTCTGGGGCAGCTGCCCCCTCTTAGGCTTGAGCATGCCTCCCTCAAAAATGTGCCGTCATGGCCGCAGACTGGTGGCCAAAGAGGGAGCCTGAAAGTGACTGTCGTCAGTTAGAGCTAGCCTCGGAAGTGGTGGCCGTGTGACGGTGCCATTGGAGGGTTTTAATTGCTCCTGAATTAATGTGCTTACTTCTCGCCCCTGGGGCGCCCGGGTTTAATTACTGTCTTAGGTCACATATGCAAATGAGTCTGCTATCATTCCTGGTCCCAGTGGACAGCAGCCCTGATTACCAAGGCCTCACGCTTTGCAGCAAGACGAGCAGGAAGCAGAGGAGACGCCACTGGCCAGGCTGGCCTCCCATTAGAGCTGACGAGCAGAGTTGGAAGGTGGTGTCTGCCTGAGCCATTTCTGGGTCCAGATGAGCTGGAGGGTTCAAGGTTGTGTCTGGGGAGTCTTTGCTACCTGAAGGCACCAGGAGATCAGTTGTCAGTGGCAGAGAAGCCCTGGCAGATCTGAACTCATAGAACCTGTGTGGATGGGGGATTTTTACAGAAAAGGAAGAAATTGGGGAGATAGACAAGACTATGGATCAGGGGTTGCAGATTCAAAAGCTGGGGAGGGCTGGGCAGGGCTGGGAATAGGGGAGCAGGCAGGTGGGACTGCAGCTGCCATGAGAAGTGAACGGCCAACTGTTGCCTTCCAGGAATGCAGGCACAGTGTGGCCAATTTTCCAATCCGTTAGAACTCAGAAATTGGAATTTGTACACGAAATCTACTTTTTAGACTTTGACAACTAATTAGAATTTTTAAAAAACACTGCAGGTTGCCTGGGGCCGGGGTGGGCGTGGGGATTGGCTGGGAAGGGGCTCAAGGAACTTTTGGGGTGCTGGAGATGGTCTATGTTGTGATTGTGGTTCTGGTTTCCAGGTGTATTTGTGAAAACACACGAAACTGTACACTTAAAAGAGGGGCCTGTTACTGAATGTAAATCAGACCTTGGTAAGCTGGTTACACTGCACGTTCGTTCAGTGGGTCTTGATGCTTCTCCCTGGGTTGCTGTGAGCTTTCCCTTTCCAACTTGTTCCCTTTTCTGTCAAATCAAGACCACAGGTGCTTTATATGCTCTGAAGACCCTCCTTCCCTTTCCCTGTGCCCTGTACCTCTTCTTAGGTAAGCCTGTCAGTGTCTCGCTGTTTAACTCATTTTGCTCTGAGTGGGAGCCTAAGTGGATGTGATTGTTCACCGTCCTCCCTGTGTAACAACCATGAGGTAGCCCTATTGTATTAGCCCCATTTTACATGTGGGGAAACAAGCCAGAATCCAAACCCACGTCGTCTGGCTCCATCCGGGCTCTCGGCCACTGCCCCGCCTGCCTGTGCTTGTGGCTGCTGTGGGGGGATCAGGGGTGGGATCCCTGCTGCTGGGAGGAAAGCTGATTTGGCTGCATCTAGAGGTCCCAGCATGGACTTCATAACCAAGAAGCAGGCTCCTGTCACAGCCTCCTCCCCGCAACACGGCAGCTCTGTGGACCCTGTTGAGAGCATCCAGCTGCCACCTTCTGGCCTCAGCTGCATTCGTTAAAAAGTACCAGGGCTGGGGTTTTTCAGGGGAAAGCTGGCTGCTTCCCATTGTCTCCTGGAAAGCCCGGCACTCCAGCCCTGGCTGCTCATCACCAAGCCTGCAATCCATTCGCTGTACCCAGTGGTTCTCAAGCTCAGCTGCAGTGCGGTCAGCCGGGGACCTCTAACAATTACGAGATTCTGGTTTACTTGGTCTGGCCAACTGGAGCTTTAAGCGCTTCCCAGGTGGTCATAACACGTGGCCACATTTGAGAACCACATGGCTTCAAACTTTCAACTGATTTTTGTTCTAATGTCACAGATGCAGGAATTTGGAGGTTGAAGACAACCACAGATGAAAAATACATGTTTTGTGGGAAAGCGTGTGTACTATGAAGTTAAAATTTAAAAAAAGATAGGAAACATCAAGCAAGTCCTGAGACAAGGGACACGTGCTGACCAAGTTTACTTTAGAAACACTTGAAGTTCCCGTAAGACATGTCGAACATCCCAGGCCATCTCAAAGCCCAGGAATGGCTTTCTGGAAACTTGGAATTAATGGTGCCCATCCTGCTTCAGGTAAGACCCCAGGTAAAGGTCCCCTGGTCTGCAATTCCTCCTGGCTTACTTCTGCCAGCCAATGTCAGGAATGTAGTTTGTCTCTGCTGGGTCAGAAGTTGTCAGCTGTCCTCACCCGGTGTCCAGGTGTGCCCAGGGCCGGTGTGTCAAGGCCCAGCTCGCAGCCTTCTTCAGGGTGGAGCATCTGAAAGGGCTCCCACCTTCACTTGCCCTTTAACTGAAGACTGATAAATGCCTTTATCTGCCACTCACTGTTTTAAAATCGAAGTGCCAGGAAATGTTGACATTAAACAAAATTTAAAAATACTAACTTCCTGCTTCAAAGTTGGGATAAACATAAACCCTCTAGTAAGACTGTCAGGCACAGATTGATGCCTCACTTCCCTCCAGCATGAATTTTCAGATATAACCGTCATTACAACCTGGAACAGGTTAGTGGTTGTAGCTGCGCACGAGAGCTGCACCATGCTACATGCAGTAGACTTCGCCATTGTCATTATTTGGAGATGAGCTGTGATGGTTTCAGCTGTGTAAGGGTGCAGAGTTGAAAAGGGGTGGACTGGGATGGTGTTGTGACGTGTCTAGAGTCCTGTTGTTCAATCAAATAGTAATCTAGGTCTTATTGTGATATTATCTTGCAGACATAATTAAAGGCATTCATCAGCTGACTTTAAGTAAGGAATTTTCCTGGGTGACCTGGGTGGGCCTGATTCAATCAGCTGGAACGTCTTCAAAGTGGGGCTCGATGTGCTTCGCCTGCACCCGTGGAGGTCCGTTCTGGGCATCTTCCCTTATGACTGGCTGCCCGACGGGTTTTGGATTTGCTCAGCCATGCCCAACCACAGAAGCCAATTCCTTTTCCCTAAACCTCTTAACATACGTATCTCCTCCTGCCGGTTCTGCATCTTGGCTTAAATCCTGACTGGGATGAGCAGTGAACAAGAATGCCCACAAGGGGGCCTCCGAATCCCAACTGTGTATTAACACAATTCGATAGACTTGGATCAAATCATTGTAGAAAAATAAAATGCTAATAAAACACTAAACTTCTTCAAGGGCCAGACAGTAACCATAGGATTTTCTCTCTCGCTTTAAAATAAGCATGTTGCCTCATACGCTGTGCTCATTACTCGGCAACAGTGCTATGAGCTCTACGCCATCGGGCAAGAGCTATCTGTACCTTCTGAGCACCCGAAACAAGGTTAGTCGAAGTGAGGAATGGAATTCAACTTTAATTAATCTAAATAGGTTTCCAAGACCCTCTAGACGCCCTCCTACCTCCCCAGAGCTACCCTGTCACCTTTTATCTGCTTCCCCTAGAAACAGAACCTACACCACAGCCACGCCAGGCGGTTAGCTGTATGCCAGCAGCCCCAGTGCTTTAGACGGCAATATGGTCATGCGACCTAGAGCCCATAATCTGTAAGTACTCTGCATTTGCACTTTCTCCCAAATACGTCTGAACTTGAAGCCACTGTTCCCAGCTCTGCCCCAATTTCGGCTGACCACTTGGCATGCCTCCTCTCTCATCTTTTGCCTAAGCTGCCTTTTCCAAGGACGTATGCAAACGTCCTCAACAAATTCCCCCCTTTTTGTCCTGACACAAAGCCCTTAGCTCTCACAGGCCTATTGCAATGCCCCCCAAACATCAAGACCTTAGGACAGACAGGTTCACAGACTTCTAAACACACACACACACACACACACACACACACAGTACTCCTGCTGGTCACTGAAGCCTTTTTATTTTTGCACACAAAACCTCTGGGGACCTTGGCTGTGGACACCTCAGAGATGACAATGTAGATACAACACACGGCTCCAGACACTTGGTGGGAAGCGAGGTGAGAAAAACAATGATTTGGGCCAATCACATGATTACAGAGCCAGGGTTTCCAGCGGGGTTCCAGATGGTCAAGCTTGGCGGCTGTAGCGGTTCTAAGGAAGCAGTGAGAACAGTACAGGTGGGAGAGGCCAGTTAACAACTACCAGACGCCCTGCAAGGACTGGCTGGGGCCTTGAGCCGCCGGTGTGGACGCTGGGAGCAGAGGTCTAATGAGCTGACCAGTGACTGCAGAACCCAGGCTTGCACGCCCAGAGCTTACTTGGCCAGGGGGTTTCTGAAGTTCCTGCCGGCAAACTTAGCCTTGCTGCCCAGCTCCTCTTCAATTCTGGGGAAGCAGAAGAGGGGAGAGAGAGAGGTCAAATGTCAGTGTAGCTGAGCTCTTCCACCCAGAGATGTGGTCAAAGACGCCCCCTCCCAGGAAGCCAAGAACCCGGCAGTTTGTCCAACTTATTCTCCAACCCTCCAAGCCTGAGCTTCTCTGAGATGCTGGGAACAGAAGAGCATTCAGCTCACACCCACTCAATTCGCCTGGCGAGGCGTCCACCTCCTGTCCCTTCTCCCCGCCCCCTATGTTTCTGAAGGACAAAGTAGAAATGTCACGATTGCTATTTTATTTCTTGGAATATAATGAAAGGACAATCCAGTTTCTTCAACAAGTGGCATGGGAAAAGGAGGGGCAACTCATTAGTGTGAACTCTGGATCCTGTGTCAAGAAAGCGATGCATTTTTGAGACAACCAGGGTAAAGTGAATAGACTGGGTACTGATGTTACGGAATTACTACTAATCTTGGGCACCGTCATGGTGGAAGGGTGATGCTAAAAAGTAAATCTTTATCTGAAAGTGATTTACAACTAAAGAATTTACAGGTGAAGTCATAAGATGCCTCAAATTTGCTTTAAAATTCTCCAGCCAAAATGAACAAGTAGGGTGTAGAGAGACAAACGCAGAGAAGAATCGACAGCTGGTGTATCTGGGTGATGGGAAAAGGCCTGCTTTCCACTGTTTTGTTATGCTTGAAATTTTCCAGGATAAAGTTCTAAAGAGGTCATGTGGAAGAACTTAGCAAATGGATGTTCCTTTTCCCTGTAAGATGGGGAAAAAGCAACAACAAAAGGGCCAGTCTCTCTGTGGTTGGGAGCTTCCCAAGGACACCCCAAAACAAAGAGGGGACCAGAACGTCCGAAGGCACTACACAGTGGAAACCCTGCTGTTTGCCCTTCAGCAATTTTCTTCATCTCCCTGAGTTGTGGTTTCTTTGTTGACAAACAAGGCGCTAAATTAGATGGGCACTAAGCCTCTCTTCTACCTCTAAAAACTGCATGATTCAATTGTCCAAAGGGAAGCCTGTTCCCTCTTCGACCAGAAGATGTCAGCAGCACTTCACCAAACAGGCTCTTGCTCTGGAGCAATGTCGCAAGGCACCTCTGGTTCTAGGCCCAATTCACCCCAACCCTAACACTGCTCAGGCCGGGGGTCACGGCCCCCTCTGTCCCTGTCCCACAGAGTCAGGAGCTCCTAGTGGAAGGCAGGCCCCCTCTTCACCTGAGGATCTGGTTGTACTTGGCCAAGCGCTCGGATCGGCAAGGTGCACCAGTCTTGATCTGCAAGGAAGAAACAAAGGTCATGTTGGCTTGTAGTGGACACCACATCTCAAAGGCATTTCAAGGAAGGTGAGGGTGCCAGGCAGAGACACAACAATTTCTTTAGGAGGATCTCTGACCTTAGGAAGGAAGGGATAAAAGGGGCTTCCAGGACCCCATTCTACCCCTCCCGCCACTGGTCCTGTGTCCCAGGAAGCTGAGGTCAGAGAGAAGCAGGGAGGGTCTTTCACTCCATGGAGCTCCTTACCTGTCCAGTGCAGAGCCCCACCACCAGGTCGGCGATGAAGGTATCTTCAGTCTCCCCAGAGCGGTGAGACACCATCACGCCCCACCCATTGGACTGGGCCAGCTTGCACCTGGAAGCCAGGACACAACCCAGATGGCGTGATGCCATTTCCTGGGCAAAATAGCCCCTTCTAGCTCCCCTGAGGCCATGACTCACTGTCCCTGGTAGGAGACAAGGCAGGGTGGGGCAGCCAGCAAGCTCTCAGTTCCCAGGAAAAGGACAATCCTCCCCCTGCTCTGAACCACACAGCCCCGAGGACCTTCTCAGCCCTCCAGTGGTGTCTGAGAAACTTGAGGGGAGAGTGTGTCCCCTCAGATGGTAACTCTGACTGAGGTTCTCCGTTCATGAAGTGGTCAGAATTAGGCCACAACTGCCCCATGCCCCAGCCCCTTGGTGCCATTGTTTACTTTAGAAGCCACCTGGAGCTCAAATGTGACACTCTGTTACAGCCTGGGGTACGCTGAGGTCCTGTCACGAGGGCTCCCCAGCACCAGAAGAAAGGAGCTCTCTCCGGATTTAACCCTGGCCCGTGAGAGTGCTCCTGAGGGCACTTACGCCTGGAGGGACTCGGTCACAGAGCCGATCTGGTTCACTTTGAGCAGGAGGCAGTTGCACGACTTCTCGCCCACGGCCTTGGCAATCCGCTTTGGGTTGGTCACAGTGAGATCATCTCCCACCACCTGGATTCCTGCGCTGGCGGTGAACTTCTGCCACGCTTCCCAGTCATCCTGGTCGAAGGGGTCCTCGATAGACACCACTGGGGGAAGGAGTGTCATGTCCCATCAGTGACCCTCCTGGTCTGCTGAATGGCAGCCTCACATCTCTCACCTACAGGACCGGAACAGCCCCCCACTCGTATCCTGGAAACAGTGCACTACCAACCTACTCCTGTGACAGGGCACAAGTCACCCACAATCCTGGAACCTACAGATATTAAATGGGATCCTCGCCTGCCGAGGGTGGTGAGAGTTGTGCGCCATCGAGAGTAAGAAAGGAGCCGTGCACTCAGAAGCCTGAGGACCTGGGTTTTGTCTTGGCACCACCTTGAGCAAGTTACTCAGCTCAGCGGTTACACAAGCGGTCTGACCTGGACTCACACTTCCTGGTCTGAATTCTCGCTCCATCATCTGCTGAGTGCCCTTGGGCGAGTTACTGACCGGCTCCGTGCCTGTGAGATGGTATTAAGAGGCCCCACCCTGTGTGCATGAAGTGCATCACAGAGCTGAGAGGAGCGCCCAGCTCACGGTGAGCCTAACAGGCTGGCTGTCCTCACCTGTATAACGGAGCCAAGCCCGCATTTGCTCAGAGCCTGTTGCGACAGTGACAGAAGGTGATCACACTCTGTAAGCTGATGTCTCTACTGGCTGACACTGCAGAAGCAGCTCTTGAGACTCTGCTGCACCAAGCGCCTCTGTGAAGCCCTCCCCACAGAGCGTGTGTGCATCTGAAGTGGAAAAGCCCCCATGCGGAGGCGTGTGACAGACACCTCCCCACCCACTCTCACACCTGCGGCCACCACCTGGCTCAGTGCTCCAGCAGCCGGCTGCATGTCAGTGGCTGGAGAGGGCGCCACGCCCCAGGAGCACTCACCCGGGTAGTCCTTGATGAAGGACTTGTAGAGGTTGGCCAGCTCATCGGGTGTGATGTATCGGTTGGGGTCATCGGGTGACTTGAAGTCCAGGTCATACTTCCCTGACCTGAAGAACTCAGAGGCAGCCACGTCCATGCCAATGACAACCTTATCGGTGTAGCCAGCTTTCCCAATGGCATTCTTCAGCAGCTCCAGGGCTGGAAAGACATGGCGGCGACAAGTTTGAAAATCAGGTAGGTGGAGATAAAATTTTCCTTTAACAGCTGCCCAATGGGAACCTTAACAGAAAGACCCAGAGGTGGTCTGGCCCCCAACTGTCAGTTTCAACAATTCCACTTACTGTTTCTGCTTTGGGAAAAGAAACTATTAGTTAGGGACCCTGGCACATCACGAAGTGGGAGATTCAGTCTTGATTCTAGGAAAAGAGGCTTTCTCACTGACGAATGCTCCCAAATTTAGCACCCAGGGACAGCTGTGCTGGCCAAGATACAGCTACAGAGACCAGCTGAGATCAGCTGTCCCGACGAACAGGCTTTAAATAGAGCCGAGGCTGGGATCCAAAGGGAGCACCCGGTGGAAGGGGAACCCTGGACAGCGAGGCCCTGCCCCCAGGCGCTGCTGTCTGGAGCCCAGGCTCAGGTCCGCTTTGCTTGGCAGCGCCGCCCGCAGGGAAACTGATGAAGACTCGTGGCTCCTGCTCCATCCCAAAGATCTTTGAGCTGTTGGGGCAAACCACATGAAAGGGCCGTATTCATGTGGGTGACCCCAAGAGCAGGATGCATACTTTCTTTCACTAGCTGCCCTCGAAGGCGACAGAACATGCTTGAGGCCTACTTTTTCCTTCTGAAACAAAAAATTCGGCCCTGAATTCTTCTCTTAAAACTTTCAGTATCCTCTATGCAATTCTCACGCTTAATTCTGTGCCCGAGGATTCTGTGGCTGAATGAACTAAAACAGTTATTGATCACAGCCCTGAACAGACGGCATCTCCTCAAACACGGAGCAGATTCCAAACCTTTGCCAGCGCAACGTGAAGCACGGATGGCAAAAGGCACAAAGTGCCTCTCTATACCCCATCCAGCCCAATTTAAACAAATCAGCTGGCCATTCAGAAATCAAATAAACAAGAAAATTTCTTATTTTTTAAAAAAATGAAGCGCTAGCTCCCACTTCCCTCCCCAAGAGTCTGCTGGCATTGTTTTGCATTTTGATACTTGATGAACAAAAGACGGAAAGACCAACGTTCCCCAGGTGGCAGGGCAGAAGAACCTGGGGATTCCTCTGGAGCCTCTACCTTCTTTATTCTCCAGGATGTTAGGAGCAAACCCGCCTTCATCCCCCACATTGGTGGCATCTTTCCCGTATTTCTCCTTGATGACGTTCTTCAGGTTGTGGTAAACCTCTGCACCAATGCGCATGGCTTCACTGAAGTTGGCTGCACCAACAGGGAGGATCATGAACTCCTGCATGGCCAGCTTGTTGCCAGCATGAGAACCACCGTTGATGACATTGAAAGCCTGGGGAGAGACAGAGAAGTCTAGCACCTGGCCCAGGGAACCACACAGAATAGCAAGCCCCTCACGTCTGAGTGCACAGCTCACAGACGGGGCCACGTGTGGCTATGAAGTGCTCACCAGGTCTCTCTTGAGCCTGCAGTAATTATCAACAGAGGCGCGTACTGCTCTAAGCACTGGCTCCTATCTCAGCAAATGGACACGACCCAACAGGCTAAGAGCAATTTTCATCCCCTAGTCAAAAGTCAAGGACTTGAGGTGCAGGGAAGTGGAGCCACCTGCCAGAGGTCACTCTTGGCAAGTGGCAGAGGAGTTGTTTGCAGCTGAGGCCTCCAGAGCCTGCTTGTATGCACTGTGCTCCAAGAGTCACACATGGACAAGATCAAGTCATGGGAGGCATCAGGGTCCCAGGAGAAAGCTAATGCTCCCTGCTCCTCACTTGGGAAGTCCACAGAAGCTACTCACCGGAACTGGCAGGATCACTTCAGAATTGCCAGCCAAGTCAGCAATGTGGCGGTACAGCGGCACCCCCTTCTCAACAGCTCCAGCCTTGCAGACAGCCAGGGACACTCCCAGAATGGCGTTTGCACCAAACTTAGCTAGAACAGAACAGAGCTAAACTGAGGTATTTCTCCCCAATCTTCTCCCTGCTGGCTTTTCTGCTGCGAGTACCGCCACGGCATTCTCAGCCGTGTCCCCTCTTCATCACATTTACTTTCCTTGTTCAAGCTAGAGATGCAAACAGCATTCATGTGGACTCGTGCTTTTTCCCCTAAGAGAAAGCTCCTTTGGTCTATGGAACTCTGGAAAATTCCATAAATTGCTTGATTTATTATAAAGGACACGCGAGCCCCTGGTGAGTAACTCTGCCGACATGCTGCTGCCACCTGCTCAGACTCTTGATATTTAAAGCCATGAGTTACTAAGGCGAGGCGAGGAAACTACAGGAGACCACAGACAGTCATGTAGCTCACTGTTGGGGACCACATGGCCTCTCCCCAAGGACCTATAAGGTCCCCAGGAGGTGCCGCAATCCTCCCCGCACAGCCTCCATCTCAGGCCACTCACATTTATTTTCCGTTCCATCCATCTCTATCATCAGTTTGTCAATCTTCTCCTGCTCCACGACGCTCAGCTTCTACAGGGAGAAGGGAGGACAAGCTGCTTGGTGTCACTCTGTGTGTGTGACCTTTGCATTCCTGTCACAGAAGCTACCAAACTTTGGAACTGTGCAAAGTCTAAATGAGTTGTGTGACACATTTGTTTGGGGGAGAGAAAGGGGTGAAACCAAGAGAAAACAGGGAGGTGAAAAACTGCCCTTTACTTGCTTTAGCAGCACCAGGCATTTCTCCAAGCACTGGGGCGCCAACAACGAAAAATGTAAGATACGGTCTTTGTGTCACATAGATTAGTCTACCCAGGGAGACCAAAGTTATGTCATCCATAAGACAGACTTGTCTGCTGCATGCTAAATAGGGCATTACTACAGGGCAGTGTGACTTTCCGGGCAATGAGTAACAACTTATTGTTCACTCAAAAGAGCGGTGGCTTCAAAGGCAGCCGCCGCTGCCGTCCCTCTCGGCGTCTTCGGAGATGGCAAACGCCACCGGCTGACGGGAGGGGTGATTTCTGCAGGCAGTCCAAAGCCATTTAGCAAAATGTTTGATGAATGATCAAAATGAGCATTTTTGGTGAGATTATAAAATAATAAAACTGGAGTCTTGAAAACTGGGTCAGAGTAATTTTTTAGCAAAAGCATTACTTTAAAAACTTCCTAAGTGAACCATAACAATGTATTATTTTATATATAATGTCCTTCATACAAAAACCAAAACACGAAAAGAAAACCATCTATAACTCCTTCAGGCCGGGTTAACAATTTGGCATGTTTTGTTTTTTTGACAAAGCATCTTTGGAAAATAAGCAGTCACCCAAGCAGACGGCTTCAGAGACCAACCCTCATTAAGAGTTAGACCTAAGTATGGTTTGCCCCAGGGGAAAAAAGGCCCAGGAAAGCCCTGCTCCCGGTGTCAGTCATGCTGGTTAGGGCACCGCGGCACAAAGGACAGGGCTGTGCGGGCGCCCAGGGGACTGCGCCCGAGGGTGTGTGTCGGCAGGGCAGCAATGAGAAACCGCCTGGGGCCCAATTAAAGAGCGCCAGGGAAGCCAGGCCAAAACAAGCCAGCCGGGGAGAGAAACAACAGAGGCGCCCTGTGCCACCGGCCCACAGGACGAACTCTAGGAGAGGGACGACGCCCAGGGAGAACACTGAGGCGGCTGTGGCACTAGCCAGGGGCTTCCAAATCGTTCCCACCTGAGTGAGCGCCCGGCGTTATGGGGGAGGGGCCGGGGGAGGATTATTTAACAAGAGTTCCACTGTTAAAAGAAGATGTCAGTAGAAATGGAGTATATTCCACAGTTCATAAAAAACTAAGTCAGCCACCATGGATACCACATAAAACAGCCCTGAGAGCCACTCTTAAAATCTGGACCTTCATTTCTCAAAGGTCAAGATAGTTGGAGGGAAAAATCAAGGCCCCAGAAGTCTCCCGGCCCTCTGCTCCAATTCCATGCGCTGTTAGGCGTGGCTCGCAAGCAGAGGGCAAGTTAGAAAAGGGGTAATATTCTCATGCACAACAGGGAATCCAACAGCTTCCTTAGCTCTCAGAATAAGCTCTTCGATAAGGTGGAAAGCCCACTGGCCTGGGAGATGCCCTGATGGCACCGACAGACATTAGTTCTCGGGAGGCAGGTCCTACCTTGCTAATCAGGGCAGGCGCAATAGTTTTATTGATGTGCTCAACAGCCTTTGAGACACCTAGAAGGAACAATCAAATCAAATTACTGACATTAATGAGAACCAGGCCTGAGCAGCATTGCTGGCGGGAATTACTGATGTTAGCCCAGATATTCAGAGCCCACCAAAAGACCTTCGACGGGACCTCCTTCAAACCCCCGTCTCCTCCCCAGAATCAGAGGACTTTCTGGCCCAGTCTGAGCGCTCTTACCTAGGACCCCAAGGGTTAGAGCCACACACAGAGCAACCACCCCGGAATGTCTGAATGGACATTCATGGAGGTTAGTTTCAAGACCATGCACTGGAAACACCAGCTGTGGAAACTAGAGGATGTCCAACGTTATTACCTGGGTGCACAAGGCTGGAGCCAGGAACTCATTAATATACTTAATGGGTCTGGAGACACCTGACCAGCAGAGATTGACAGAGAATGAAAAAAGACAGACTCAGAAGAGGACAGGCTTGAAGGACACTGAGTGAGAGAAAGAGGAAACAGGAAGGTGGGGAGAAGACTGAGGGGCCAGGAGTTCACCCTCACTACAATCCAGGCACAGCGCTGTCCTGCTTCAGGCAAGCGTCTGCCTGGTGAACGGTGATGGCGGGGAGCTCTCTGCGGTTCAAGTGTGGCTGAGAACACCGCCTCATCGGCCCAGAGTCTCCCAAACTCACTCCGCTACTGCCCCTTCCCGCAGCCTTTTAAGATCTCTTTCCTAATCGTCCTCCCCGGAGGGCTTCCTGTGGCCCCTGGGAGGCCACAATCCATGGTCACACTGTAAGATTTTTCTGTCTCCCCCAGGAATTAATTTCCACCCCTGGAGGTGGCCGTGCTCCTGCTGACAATGCACATCTAGTCCTTCTGCTGTTCTGGAATTTGGCCACACAGGTACTATCTACAGAAAGTGGCAGAAACGCTGACAAGTTAATGCAGACAGCCCACCAGAGGCTGGCTCTGCCTCGGAGGGGCCTCCTGTGACTCAACCAACAGAAGGTCCAACTATGACAACTGATAAGCTCGTCTCTCTTCATGGGAGCCGCTGGCCAGACCTTCTGAGACCAGACCCTTGAGGAGGGCTGAGAGTCTGGAAGGCCACAGAGCCATCCCAGGAGAATGGTGAGGCTTTTTAGTGTTAGTTAACACGTCTTCTTCCCACCCTTAGGTTCCCTGGCCTAACCAGGAGTTTTTCACAGTTTGGAGACAAACTGCAATAGAGCTCAGCATTAAAATTCTTGGCCCTGAGTTTAGAGGTTTAGGAACGCCGGAATCAACAAGCCGGCTCCCCCACGTGCAGTGTACACGCTCACCATCGACACTGTGGGCCAAGCAGAGGGAGAGTGGGAGGGAGGCCGTGACAGGCCAGGAGCAGGGCTGGAGGCATGGGGGATGCGTGCCGGCCCGCTCCCGAGGCAGGATGCGGCTCTGACCCTCACCTTTCCCCATGTAGCGCGTCTTATCATTGTCCCGGAGCTCCAGCGCCTCATAGATACCAGTTGAGGCGCCACTGGGCACAGCAGCTCTGAAGAGACCTGGATGTTGAGGGAGAGGGAAAAAACAGCAACGGTTAAGAAACACAGTCACAGCACTCGCCGAAGGTCCCTCCCTGCTCAGAGGGCTCTGTCATTAGGAAACTCTGCTACTTCCTCCTACCAACTGGGAGATTCAGGGGCTCGTTCTCCACCTTTCACACTTCCATGATTCTGCCATGCAGACTCAACAGCAAAGCTGAGCAATTCCTCTAGTTTAGAGCAAAGCTTCTCAAACTTCCACGTGCACACATATCACCCAGGGATGCTGTTAAAACGCAGATTCTGAAACGGGAGGTCTGTGGACCGCCCCCCAGCAGCGCTGCCCAACAGAAATACAACGCGAGCCACTTACGGGGTTTAAGATTTGCTAACAGCTACAGTGACGTCAAAAAGCAACAACAGTGGAAAGTAATTTACTATATCTTATTTAACTCAATATATCTAAAACATTACCATTTCAACATGTAATCAAAAATATTAAGATATTTTAAGACAGTCACCCCCAGACCACTCTGAGATGGGGTTGCTCGCTTTCAAGTCTTGAGAGCGTTGGCTCAAGAGGAATCTCTCCAGTTCATTCGTTTCAATTTAGGCAGTGACAAATGCTATTTTGGGGCTTCCCTGCTTAACAGGAAACCAGAAAACAGGATAGATTCAGGGGAAAGGAAGACAACAAAGGTGCAGAGTTTAATAAGGCTAGAGAACGATGAAGCATTGAACCACACAGTTTGGCCGATACAGAAGCCAGCCATCCGGCTTCCGGCTAAACCTATACCGTGGAGCATAACGCGGCAGGCATTAGAGGAGGACGGTGCCAAGTAAGGTCCTGCAGAGGTCTGGTTATGGGGGGTGGACAGGTTCAGGGGAGCAGAAGTGTAGTCAGCCCTGAATCTACGTGGGCTTGTAAGGAACCCCCTGTGTGAGGTGTGTGAAGAACAGGTGGGTGTGTGGGGATGCGAAGGCAAATGAGCAAAGAGCAAAATCAACCACGTTTTTTAATGGAATGACCTGTCAGTGTGCCTCTGTCAGGCCATGCCTGTGTGTGAGCAGCAGGACACACATTCTTCTTGGCACAGGCCCCGGCTTCCTATATATCCATCGGGCACCAGTCCAGGCCAAGAAGAGATGAAAGCAAGAGTGACCGTAATGTAAACTCTGGCTCAGGGTGCTGATGATGTCAGTGCAGGTTCCCCTGTAACACATGTGCCACTCTGGTGGGGGTGTTGACGGGGGACCTGTGCATGTGTATGTGCCCGTGTGGGGACGGCGTTATATGGGAACTCTCTGTACCTTCCGTTCAGTTTTGGTGTGAACCTAAAACTGCTCTAAAACACAGATTGTAAGAAAGCAAACAAGAAATTATGACAGGCTCTTAGCAAATCCACGATTTCTTGTTTTTTGAAAAGGATTAAGATACACAAAAGAGAAAGTTCTATGCATTTAAATTTCAAAAAATACTAATTTTAGTCATTTTAAAGTGTTTCAAAGAAAATGCCCCCTTTCCAACAATCTTCTAGTGCCTCGGGTCTTTCTTCATTTTAAAGTCCAGTAATTTCCAAGTGGAAAGTTCCACCCGCTGACTAAGCAAACCAATCTCATAAGATGAAAGGAAATTCTCAGATCCCCTGAGAACCATGGTATTCAGCAAAAAGTACAGGCTCAGAAGAAAGTGGCTCTGAGAGCATCTGCCACAGTGAGTGACCACAGGCAGAACACAAGGAGACATTCGCCCAATGATGTCTAGATTTGAGGAGCCTTCATTTCCTGGGCAAGGAGGACAGGAGGAGGAGGAGAGCAGGAAGGGCAGGGCTAGAGGCCCCACAGCCAGGCCCGTGATTCACAGCCGTGACTCAGCTCTGACTGGCAGGGCTCCCCATGTGCTCAGTGCCACTGGGCGATTCTGCCTGGGGCTCCTTTTCCAACCTCACCCATTATGTCCACTTAGAAAAAAGCAGAGACTGCTGGAGGCAACACAGGGCTCTGGAGGCACAGGATTTTTCTTAAAGTCAAAAGGGGGGCGGGGGGGGCTCTTAAAGAGTCCCCATTCTCTTGTTTTTTCACATAGCCAGACTCCTCCTTGGGGGACTTACAGCCAAGTGAAAATAAGAGCCTCTGGACCGTCCCAACACCCAAAAGTAAAGACAGTCCCTGCCCCCTGGTGTCAAAGTGCCTCCTGGAAACAAAGAGTGCTGTACCGACACGTGCACTCGCTAACCTCGTTCCTTTTCAAGGGAGAAAGATCCACCCGATCGATCGTACAACATCTGTGTAACAGGCCACGGCAAGCCGTGAAGCAGACAGTGAAGGGCCCTTTTAGGGACAAGGTATCGCCTTACTTCCCTACCTCACTGACCCAGGAGCCAACCTGCCTCGTTTTAAATACCAAGCAGCAGCAAGATAAGGACTCCAAGCCCTACCCCACCCCCCCAGTGCTCCCCCAGCCAGGAAGCACAACCCACCAGGATGTGCAGAGCAAAAGGAAAGCTTTTACGGTAACAGACTTTTCCTCGCCTAAGGCTCCGTCATTCTCAAAAAGGAGCGTGGCGGAAGGAACTATAGAAACAAAGGGGCACATACCTTTTGAGGTGCAGAGATCAACCTCAACAGTGGGATTCCCACGGGAGTCGAAGATCTCCCTGGCATGGATCTTGAGAATAGACATGGTGAAGTCCTGTGGGGAAACACAGTTCACCTTTTCCATAAACCATCATGCAGCCTGGGCTCACTCATTCAAGGGATCACTTCCGAGGATTCCCAGACTAGAAAGAATCCGCACTGGACTACATATGCACGTAGGAAGGCTGAGTGCAGGGGGAAAGGAGGTCTGCTGGCAAGCAGTGGGAACCGCTCCTAGAAGACGAGGCCGCGCCCAGCTCTACAAGGCCTGAAACCCCAGCATTCAGGTCTCATCCTATAAGCCAAGAAAGCCTGAACGTGTGTGCGCCAGGGAGAAATCAAATCCAACCAGAAAGATTAACATGGTGATGGCACGCAGAATGGCTGAGGAGGAGGCAGCCTGAAAACTGGTTATTGCCATCAGTTAACAATGATGGCTGGCACGGGAATGGAAAGGGACCCAGGGGACATGAAGGTCACAGGCAAACCCATCCAGGATTCGAAAAATGGGGCGCGGCCCGGAGGAAAATCTAGTTTGTAGTGAAATAGCGAATTGGCAGATGGAGACATAATTCATCAAGTTAAGCTCGAGGTCGCAGGAGGATGTCCAGTGGTGGATACTGGGTAATCAGTTAGACATTCAGTCTGGAGCCTGGAGCAAGCTCCTTGGGTCTGTGCACTGTGCTCTCTGCCAGTGCCAATTTCTGGGCCTTTCCAACCTCACGGTACTTGGGTCTTCAGCAAGACCGGACACATGAATAATGACATCTAATTAGTATTTCTTTCAAAGGGCATTTTACTCCATTAAAACACTCAATTACGAGATGTCATGATTTGTAACTAGAGAAAAGATTCTATTTTGGGGGAAGAGGCTTCCTTTAACTACACTTTAAGAAAAAAACAAAACAGGATTTGCAGCTACAAAGTGCAAACTGAAAGTCCTCAAAGAGGACTTTCTCACCGCTCCTGCCAAGGGCTCTCCAAGGAAGAAACTAATTGAACAACTTGTAGTACTGAAGGGGATGAGGGGATTTGTATTAGTGTTTAGAAGCCATTATCTAACTGGGCTCCCCTCCAATATCTTCTCTGGAATGTTCTACAGCAGCAAATGGCATCTTTTTTTTTTAAGTTTCAAAATTAGATACTGAAGTTGCTTCTGTGGCTTTGTTTTCTATGTAACAATGGAGCTTTATTCATGAGCCAATAAAAAGGTATACTAGCTTTTATCTACCATCTTACAAAAAGGCAAATTTGGTTAAACATATTTTTTAATTTTAGTTAACTGAGTTTTGGCAAATTATATACCTGTCTAACACATTTCCATCACCCCAGAAAGTCCCCTCAGGCCTTTTCCAGTCAACCTTCGCCCAGCCCCAAACTACCACTGTGCTTTACCGATTTCAGATGCGCTTTAAAATGCATCTTTCTCAGACTATCTGAGCGTACAGCTGAGATCTCATCTTTTGTTTCACTTTATTGACACAAGATAATTATTTCTTGACGTGAAAATCAAATGCAATTCATCTTCAAACTTGATAGAAAAACTATTCCCCAAGTCATTAAAGTTCAGGGAGAAGGTTGGTCTGAGCAGGAGTCTTCCCAGCTTTTTACCTGCCTGGACTGAATCCCGGACCAGGGGCTGCACGAGTGGACCGGGCAGCCTGGGCCTGGTTGTGCCCCGGAGGCAAGTCAACCGACGGGCCGCACCGCCCAGACCACGTTGCAGAGGAAGAGGTGAACAGGAAGTTTCCTCAAACTACATCTTTTTTATTTCAGATCAGGGGCCGACTGTTGGCGGCCAGCCAGGGGCGCCGGGAGCAGCTCGTGCCCGACTCGGGCGAGGTCACCTGGAGAGCTCTGCACCCATCCACCAGCTCAGCTGCGCTCAAGCATCAGCATCTTCTCGAGTTGTAGTCACTGGCCATGCCGAAGCGGCGGCTTCCCGGGCATCTCCCCCTTCCCTGCTCCTGCCTCCATTTTGGGAAGAGCCTGGCTTTCCTGAGCACCGGGGTTAGGCCTGGACCGCTCCTCAGAACCTTCCCCTCTCCACGCCTGCTCTCCTATGTGTCCTGCACCTTCCACTCCTGACCTCCCGGCACAGTTATGCGGCCCTGTAACTCCGCAAATACTTGTTGAGCAGCACGGTCCCCTCCGGAGAAACCAGGAGTCGCACCCCGCCTCGGGCCGGGGTGCCCGACCGGCCCGGAGACTCGGCTCGCACGCGCCGGCGCGCCCCTTCCACGTCCCCGCCGAACCCACGGGCACGCCGCCCGAGGGGCAGGAGCCCCTGGAGGACCACGCGCCGCCGCCCGGGCGCGTGCTCGGCAGCCCTTCCCGGAGTCCTCACCTGGCCGCCGGGTGTCGCCGCGCGGGAAGAAGCAGAGGCTGCTGCAGACAACGAGGGCGAGCGTCAGACCAAAAGGACCACACGCTGCAAGTCCCAGAGCTCTTCTCCTCGCCCCCTGCTCCGACTTCCTGCCCAGCTCGGAGGCCCCGCCTACGGCCCAGCCCGGGCCCGCCTCCTCCGTGCCGCCTCGCCATTGGCCCGCCGCGCCGTCACTCAGGCCCTCGCCACGGCGAAAGGGACGGGCCTATGGCCGCCGAGGCGGCGGGGACGGAGGGACGACGACCCGAGGAGATGGGGCGGGGCTGGGGGGGCTCCGTCTCCCCCTCGGCTGTGTGGGGGTGCGGGCGAGCCCTGGTCCCGGCCGACCTCCGCTCCTGCCCCACGCGGGGGCTCTCGGGCCAAGCAGGGTCTGCGGCCCGGGGGCGGGGCGGCGCGGCCGGCATGAGGGCTCGGGGCTCCGTCACGTACTTCGAGTCCCGCACGCACGCAGCGTCGCTCCGGCGCTGCACGTCCGGCCCACGACCTTGGTGACGACCTTCGCGGCCCGCCCTGCCCACCCCTCCCCGTCCCCCGTCCGTCGTCCCTCAGCGTGGTGCCGGAGACCCCGTCGGCCTAGAGACGTTGGCGGCCGCGCGGGCCGACCCCAGTCCCAGGCCCCAGGGCCGCGTGCCGGGGGCCACGTGCGCCCTCCCGCGCCTGCGCGCTGCGCCCCTCGCCGCGCCCCGCCGCGTCCCGGCCGCCCGCCGAGGTGACCCCGTCCTTTTGTCCTTGTGCGTGGATCAGACATGAGTGTCAGGGCCAGGTGGCTGCGAGGAAGTTCGCTTTTCTTTAACTACAGGTAATACTTTTTGAGCACGTCCTGCGTGCCAGGCACATTTCCACGTGCGTCCCCAGTGTTAATTCATTCTCTAGCTCTTGTTAATATTGCTTCTTGAAAGGAGACTTCATATAGCTCTCTTCACCGCTGGGGTAGATCAGATCTACCTTGTGATTACATGTGTACCATACGTGTAATGATTTGGGACTGGAATTTCACACAGACCCCGGAGATTGCTCAAAGTTCAAACCAGGTACTATTCCGTGATAGTCTGGCGAAGGAAAATCGGGAAGGGGCGGGTGCAGTGACTAACCTTCCTGATCAGGAACTGATAACTCGTTTAAAGTCAGTCCTGCAGCACGTCCCCCATCACTTCTGTTTCTATTAGTTGTTTTTATATTCTCGGCATTCGTCTTGGTCTGTTACTCTGAGAGGTAAAACACTGTCATATGTCTCCATATTTTCCACATTGCCTTGCATAGAGAGATTCAAATATTTGAACTTAATTACTATTTCTTCTGGTCAGCTGCAAAAACTGCTTTTCTTCCTTCACTCCTAGCATTTTTATCCCCCACCTACTAGCTTAGGTTTCCAAGGCCTTGGGTAAAGGGGATGGCCTGTTGAGTCCACGGTATTTGTTTTCCGTTGACTAAGAAGCAGGAACTTTAGGATTAAATTCAGCAAAAAAGCAACAAGGAAATTGTAAAATATTTCAGTAAAGAATTACATGCATTTTGCAAGCAGAGCTTGTGATTTCACCAGCAAGACACTGATGTTTCAGAGTGCTTAAAACCAAGGTCCCAGCCCCATGACTCAGCAGCTAAATCGACAGCCAGCGTTTCCTAAACCTTAAGAACTGCACAGAAATCAGACACTTAGAGCTCTTATTTTCAGAGCAATCCTAAGGTGTGGTCCTGAAAGGGCTCCAAAACAGTCTGTTTTATTTTACATCGAAAGAGTGAGAGATAAAGATAGAAAGACACGGCTCTAATAACTGCTCTCCGGCCAGAACCAGTGAATCTAGCAGGAAATCAGATGCAGAACATGATCTCAGACAGCTGCTGTGGCAAGATTCTTGGAGGCCCCAGCACAGCGTTCTGAGCCAGCACTTTGACCTCAAATTGTTGCTCAAAAATTAATGATTAGTAGCGATGCCCTCAAATCTTTTCCAAAATCCACGGGCTGCTGAAGGCTGTTCCTGTCTCTGCTGCTGCCAAGGCTTCATTGGCAGGCCTTTGGGTTCACGTTTGTGTGCACTCCCCTGTGGGGGCATTTACCTTACTACAGGCATCTGGTTATTATTTGTCACTCCCAGTATGATTGTTGAGCAATTCACTGCAGTGGCATACCAAAGGCACTCGCCTGCTGGTGGGCAGGGAGGGGAAGTGAGTGTCCAGGGCTGCTATCAGAAGACCACCCCATGAAACACTGCAGATAGCGCCTGCAGGACATTTGCAGGTGGGCACCAGGAGGGAGGGAAGGAGAATCTGCAGCACCTCTGACCCGCCTGGTTACCGATTCTATCTGTGGGATGTGCAGCCCTGGTTGAAACTGCTGGTGGGCTGAAAAAGTGACAGACCTCTTTTGGAAGGTGGGTCTCTAGCCAGATGGGAATCTTTAGGGTTGGATAAATGGCCCAGGGGAGGTAGGAGACCAGATGAGAGCAGAAGGCCCTCAGGGGATCTAGGTGGATGGCCCTCCTCATAACAGACCATGAGGTTTTTGTGTTTGTCATTATTTCACATAAGCCAAAGACCACATAAAGTGTTTCTGGTATAGAGAATAATAAACGAACAGCTGTGTACCTACTTCCAGCTTAAGAAATGGGACACTGGCAATACCATTAAGGTCCCTTGTGCATTGTCTGGCCCCAGAGGTAACCACTCTCCTAAATTTTGTGTTTGTTATTCCCTTGTTTTTCTTTGTGGTTTTTAAATACATTTTTCAACTTTATATAAATGGAATCTTACTGTTTGTAGCCTTCTGCTACAGTTTTTTTTTTTTTGCTCAACTTGGTGTTTGTGAGCTCCATCCCTGTAGCTGTGGATGGTTCATTTTAACTGCTGTATAGTATTCCGTTGTGTGATTATCACGTTTCCCTGTCAGTGTACATTTGGGTTCCTGGTTCTTTTTTTTCTTGTTAATACCAACAGTGCTGCTATGAACTTTGTTGCAAATGTCTTCTGCGCACAGGTGCAAGAGTTTCTCTAGGGTGTATACCTAAGACACACATTGAGATGTGGAATTCCTGGGTCATGGGTACAGATGTCTTCAACTTTGTTTTCCAAAGTATTTGTACCTCTGTGTGCTTCCAGCAGCAGCGTATATGAGTTCTGACCCAGTTTAAGAAAAAATCAAATTCAGGTCCTCTCTTGCATTTTTTTCTAGAAATTGGATTGCTTCTCAATTTACCATCCTTTCCAAGTCCTTCTCTTAAAGAAACCCACATGTCCTCTCTGTAAATTGCAGTCAGCATTCTGCCTTTATGATGGCTTTGAGGGCACCTCTTAGGGCCTCCCACTGTCAACAGCCCCCTCCCCACTGTCTTCAAAGCTGACTTAGCAAAGTCAGGAAGTAGGGATGGGGCAAGCCCTCCGTTTGAGAAGACAGAAGGGAGGAAGCAGAGTATGGTTTTTAAACAAAGTCGTTGCTAGGAGGACCTTTATCAGGGGTGCCCAAATGAGAGGAGTAAGGAGTAGGGAGATTGAAGAAAAAAAAATCCAAGAGAGTTGGGGAAGCAAGGAGTGGGCACCCAGCAAGCAGAGATCCCCTTGGGGGAGCTCATGAATGAGGGGGCCAAGTGGGGCCTGAGTGGGGCTCTGGACCAGCAGGAGAAAATCAGAGGGAAGAGCCTCTCGTGTCAAAGAGCTCTGCGTGGATCCTCTTGTGCCTCCGCTCCTTTATCTGTGAAATGGGTGCAGTAGTACCAACCCCAGGAGGCGGGCTTGAGCGTAACAGCCCCAGCTCTCATCATCAGTTTGGGGATCGTTGCTGAAAGCTAGAATGGAGGCCCAGGAGGCACCGATGTCTCTAAAATAGCAGGGGCAGTAGGTCCCCAGAGCAGTTTTCTTTTCATCTCTATCTCTTCCCACCCTCCCTTTCTCACAGTTCTTAAGGTTGTCACTTGAAGGGAGGCCCAGGGCAGCTGGAGCTGCGGGGGTGAAGACATCCTGGTCTGCAGCCAGCAGAGGACTCCTGCCTGTCGACCAGGCCGCCAGCACTGCTCGAGGCCGGAGTGCAGGACCCTGGAGCGGCCCCATTACAAAATGCCAGTCACTGGGAAGGAAGGAGCAGGCAGGTCATGCGGGCGTGCGCTCCGGATGGAAAAGCAGGAGCCAAGTTCTTCCTTCAGAAGGGGGAGGCCCTTGTGATTCACTGAGAGTGGGGTTTCCGTGGAGGCTTCCCATGGACCGCAGATAATGAGAACATTCTCCCTCTACCTATCACAGATAGGTTACTGAGGCCGTATTACCTACCAGGTTAGCTCATTTCATCCTGCCGACAAGTGTGATCATCTCCACTTCTCAAAGCACGAAGAGGCTGCCTGACTTGCCCAAGCCTGCAGCTAGTGAATGCAGGCGCCAGGGGCCCAACCCAGGCAGCCTGACTCCCAGCCCTCGCCCCCAACTGCTCAGCATCTGCTCCTCCGAGATGAAGTTCACCTCGTCTGTGGATTCAAATGAGGGGCCACAACACTACACTTAGTCCCTTAGTTTGCATATCTACCCTGGGACCATAACCATACACGGAATTTCATTGTAGCAGCTTCAGGATTTGAGAAACATCAGGAAGCCTTCATATCTGCTTGAAACTGTATTCTCTCTAGGCCAGGCTTGTGGCTGGAAAGAGAAAGCAGCTTGCAGAGTCAGAGTGTCAGTTACATTGTATTGCAATTCAAGTTCCAATTACAAAACGTCCCCAACCCCACACTGGTGATAGAATTTTGTGGCATTTCCTAAACAAGGGTACAAAGTTTCCCACAAAAAGTTTTCCGTGAACTTTACAGTTCCCATGAAGCGAGGTCCTGGACCTCCTGCGTTGGAATTCCCTGACTGATCCTGTTTTTCAGTTGTTGGTGTGCATCCTGACGGTGAGGAGAAGGCTGAGGAGAGCAGGAGTTCAGCACAGCCTGTCAGAGCCTGTTAGCATATTCCTGTGGCTACAAGAGAAACGCAGACTGGGCAGGTTTATAACTGGCTGCGTGGGGCTCCTATGGGGCTGATGTCAACCTGAAGGCTGGCTTCTAGATGGGGTTAGTGAGGACATGCTGCTGAAAGCGCTCAGATCGTCAGAGCTGGGCAGGACAGCTGCGCCCTTGAGTGGCTGACAGGATTTGCACCAGACAGGCCAGGCAAGGTGCCAAGCTGATAAACTGCCACCTTTTGAGGGGCTTCTGCCACACCCACAGCTGGTGTGGAAGGATTTCTCAGGCCTTTACCACCTAACACAACTGGCTGGACCCAGGATCGGTACCAAAGATGCCACTGAGGTGGCCTGGCCCGAGAACTCTGCCCAGTAGGAGCATGTCACAAAGAGCTGTGGGTGACTGGCCCACCAAGGTTGGATTCAGGATCTGGAAGCAGAAGCCGTGAGGCTGAAAAGCGAGGGAACAGACTCGGCGAGGCGGGGCAGCACGGTGTCCTTGGCTGGGTGCTGTGGGGGAAGTAGGTGTGGCTCCACAGAGGGGCCGCTGGGCACTGAGCTCCGGATCCCGAGCTGTGGTGACGTTTCCTTCTCAGGAGGCTGTGACGTCCAGCTGCCCCGATTCCTGCCTCCCTGCTCTCCTGGGGTCCCTCCAGGAAGCCCCCATAGCTGAGGAACCCATGCGAGTCTTATGCTTTGCAATCTAAGAGAGCCCATCTTGACCAGTTGGAATGAAGGCCCAAATCTGACTCCCTGAAAAGAGAAAGAGAGTCCACAAACGGGAAAAGAGTGATTCAAATGGGTCACTGCAGTGTTTATTGAGCCCCTGCTGTGCACCAGGCACTGGGTGTAGCAAGGCAAAAACTAAACAAAACAGAGCCTTAACCTCAAGGAACTTACCTTCTAATGGGGGGGAGGAGGAAGGCAGACAGTATTAAAATAGATGTGACTTTACACATGGCCAGCGTCAGAGGGGACGTTTGAGCAGAGACCTGCTGAAATGAGTCGCTGGGAAGAGCGTTCCAGAGGGAGGCTAGTATGTCTGAGGAGTTGAGAGAGACCGGTGGGCCAGAGCTGGGGGCTGGGGGAGCGTGCAGGACCCGATGCCGTGGCCGGGGGGGTCGGGATGGTGAGGGCAATGCAGAGGCCTGTGCACTTCACCCTGAGTGAGAGGAGGGCCTGGGGGTTCTCAGCAGAGGAATGCGCGCTCTGCCTTCCGTTTTTGAAGGCTCACTCCGGCTGCTGTTGAAGCGAGACTGAAGAGCATGTGTCAGTTATCTGGTGCTCCCTGACAAGCCCTCCCCAAAACTTAGTGGGTTAAAACAGCAGCCATCTTCTTTGCTCCTGATCCTGTGCGTGGACTGGGGCTCAGCCACAGTTCCTCTGTTGGCCTCACTCGGAGTCCCTCGTGTGAAGCTTTCAGGCGGGAGCCTGGTGGAACCAGCACATCCAGGATGGCCTCTGCCTTGGTTTTGTGGGACTGCCATAACAAATTACCACAAATCCGGGGGCTGAAAACAACAGAAACTTATTCCCTCTCAGTTCTGGAGGCCGAAAGTCTGAAATCCAGGCGTTGGCAGAGCTGCTTCCTTCTGGAGGCTCCGAGGGAAACTGCGGTCCTTGCCTCTCTCCGGCTTTGGGGGTGGCCACCAATCCTTGGTGTGCCTTGCCTGACACCTGCGTCACTCCTATCTGACTCAGTGGTCACATGTGTTCTCCCTGTGTGTCTCTGTGTCTCTGTGTCCACATTTCTCATTTTTTATGAGTGACAGTCACACTGGATTTAAGGTCCACCCTAATCCAGTGTGACCTCCTCTTACTTTGATTACATGTGCAAAGACCCTATGTCCAAATAAGGTCACAATCACAGGTTCTGAGTGGACATGAAGTTTTAGGGGACACTATTCAACACAGGACAGCCTCTCATTTTGCAGGATATCTCCCACAGCCTCTCATCGTTCAGTAGGCTAGCCCCGGAGTTGACAAACTATGGCCCACGGGCCAAATCTGTTTCTGTAAATAAAGGTGTATTGGAACACAGCCACACCCCTTTATTTACATATTGTCTGTGGCTGCTTTCAAGCTGCAATGACAAAGTTGAGTAGTTCCAACAGGGATTGTAAGGCCCACAGAGCCTAACCTACCCTTTATAGAGAAAGTTTGCCCACCCCTCGTCTGTCCTGGCTTCTCACACAGCAGCCATAGCCCAAGAAGCTGCCACCCAGGAGGACAAGGAGACCCGGTGTGCAAGAGCTGGTGGCAAAGCCTCTTGCTGATGTGCCATTGGCCAAAGCAGGTCACATGGTCAAACCCAGAGTCTGTGGAAGGGGTGCCCACTGCGGGGTACCAGGAGGTGGGCTCACTGGGGCTACCAAAGAAAGGGTCTACTCGAGGGGCACAGCTGAACACAGGAGCCCAGTGAAGAGACCGCCGTAGGGCCCTAGGGTGGTAACACTGGATGCGTGAGAAGTGATTGGAGTCCAGATATATTTCCAAGCAAAGCTGACAGTTTTTGCAGATGGGCTGGATGTGGGCAAAGCACACAGTTTTTCATTCCTACCCCTCCTACTTCCAGAAGGAAATTCCTCGAAGAAAGTCGTGCGCAATAAAATTAATACATACAAAATCAAGACCAAAAAGTTAAGCACGAGATGATCAAGGGAGAGGGGCAGACAGGCGTAAGTGGGGGAACACCTGGGGAGTTTGGCCCAAAGGGCACCTGTGTGGGGATAAGAAAAAGGGACATCTTCGTTGAGACGTTTTGCTTCCATCTTAGGCGTTTATAGTTGCAATAAAAATACAAAAGTGTCAGAAAGACGGCTTGGTGGGAATGGTGCTCCTTGAAAGCTCCACCCTCCAGTGGGGCATGCTCTGACCAGACGTGTGCGATGTGCCTGCCTGGGGACTTGTTCACTGTAGGCATCGGGGGTGCGATGGGCCAGTGTAATGTCGAGTATGTTCGAGAAGACTTTGGAGAGACTATGAGTTTGCTTCCATTATGAAAGCCAGGAAAGTAAAATTATCATCGGTTTTTTTTGGTGTAAGGAAAATGTTTAAACTTAAAATAATGAGTTTTAATACACCTACTTTTCAATTTTTAAATATTTTTTCAACCACTTTAATGTTCTGGAAAAAAGTAAATTATTTTTAAAAATACAAAAAAACATGTATTTGGGGGCATACGTTTTTCCTCTTGTGTCAGGTTTGCAATATTACAGGTCTTCTTATTTAAAATTTTGATATTTTGCTCATTGTGGATTTTTGGTGTTAATTTTGATGTTTGAAAGTATACTCTCTCTTGATGACTGGATTTTTGGCACCGGCCTGAATTTTGTGCCCCAGATGAGTGCCTGGTTCCCGGCCCAGGGTGATGTGGCAGCTAATACTTAAGTGGTATTAATAGAAGATTTTCATCCAGCGTGAAGGTTCTGCTCAGTTCTGAGTGACGAGCCCACGTAGGACCTCTCCTGGGAGGCAGGATGGGGGATGAAGGACCCCCCTCCCCAGGAGGAGAGCAGACATTGGGGGACTTGAGAACCGAACAAGTTATTGAAGGATTACTGTGCAGCAAAGGGCATAGCTTTAGTCTGTGGCTTCAGAAATGATAGGAGGACTGCAGAGAGAAGGTCCCAGGGAGGTGAGAGCAGCTCAACTTAAGAGAAGATAGAGGGAACATTTCCAAAATGAAGGTGGTTCCCGCCACTGGGAGCTGTTCAGGGGGTCTGGGGCCTGCAGTTGCTCTCTCTATGTCAAAAGGATTTCGTGGTGTGTATATGTATTTAAGGTGAACCAAAACTAGTTTACTTTCGATCCTTTTGAGATTTTTAGAATATGTTTAAGATCATTCGTGAAACTTCAGGATTTAAAAAAAAAAGAAAACAAACACCCCCAAGGTTAATCTCAATGAAGAAAAAAAAAGACACACAACATAAAAACCATTAAAAAAACCTCCAAAAACCCAAGGCTGAGAATTAACATCCCAGGCTCCCACCTCGTACTCCATTCACAGCAAATAGATTTTTGGATCCAGGAAAGACAAAGATGCTTCTGTTACTTTCTAATTAAAGTCTGTCCCATTTGGATGCCGTCCCAGGCCTCGATAATGTGGTGCTTATGCACAGACTCCTGGCAGGAGGGGGCCATCGCGGGCCAGCGCCAAGGCCCCTCACTTGGTCCCATCCTAATGGTGTCCTTGTCACTCTAGATAGAAGCTTTTACCCCTCCTGCCAGATCCACAGATCCCAGCTTCCCAGGCAGGAGTTTACGTCTTGGCGGTGCTTCTCACACTGTGAGTTTAATTTATTCTCAGTCATCAGAAGAGTCGGTAGACCTTGTTCCATTTACTGGGAAGCATGGTTTCTTATCTGGGCAGGAGTCCCATGAACGAGTTGTCAGAGGTCCAAGGAATGCCCCAAACTGTGTGCAAATGTGGTACGTTTGTGTACATTTTCCTGCAGGGACCTGTGGCCCCAAAAGATTAAGAACCGCTGCTCCAGGGAGCGCCCTGAATAATTTTATCGTTGCGTATTTATATCACTGGAGGAAATGAATTAACTTTTCTATAAATTCTGGAAGATGTGGCAATATCGTCTGACCTCAGTTCATCATAGCTTTCCACTCTAAGCTCAGGAGCTCTGTAACATGAGCTGCAGAGCTCTGGACACCCTCAGAAGGAACCCATTCATTTTCTCCCGTTCCTCCCAGCTTCTCAGGAGATGTCCTTGCAAACAGGAGGTGAGAGGCCACTCACTTGGGTCGCCCTGGCTCCCAGTCCTTCCTCATGTAGACCCTTCCGCGACGGCGCCCGGCCAGTGCTCCGCTTGCAGGAGTGTGGGGGTGTAGGCTACGTCTAGGGTACTGGGGTACATCACAGTCGGAGAACACAGCTGTCGCCTTCACTAGAAGCCTCTTTATTCTGGCATTTACTCCTCACAAAAACAAAGTCAGGAGCCTAGCTCAGCATCTTATGGAGGGAGGTAGGGAGGGGTCCCCCTCCTCAGCAGGCAGCATTACCCATTGCCAGTTTAATTTGGAGCAATGCCTTGAGCTAGAATCTACGATAACTATGCCAGGAGAAGATCAAAAAGGAAAAAAACCCCATCAGTTCTACCAGCCATGTCTGCAGTTTATACCTTTCAGAGAGAGTTACATACACTTTTGAGTTTGGGGTTTTCACCCAGTAGAAAAGTGCACATTCCTGTGTAGATTCATATGCAGTTTGGGGTGTTCTTAGACATAGGGAGGGGAGAGAGCACCCCCTCCTTGTTTGCTTCCGTTGGAGCTATTCGGGAAAGTTCTGCATGCCGCAGCGTCCATGAAATACTTCCACCCCCTCGCTCAGTCCCGGGATTCCATGATGACACAGATGCGGTTCCTGCCTTCGAGGCACCTGGGCTGGCTAAGCGGGCAAAAGCGCACGCAGCTATGATGCGAAATTAAATGGTGAAGGGGTCCAGAATATGACATTGTGGCATGAGAATTATTTTGAGCTGAAGGCGTTTGAGCATAGGACTTTTTTTTTCTGAACTCCCTTATCTGTTTAAAAGCAGAAAGTCCCAAAATAACTCAATTGTCACCCCTCACCCAGAGCAGCCACGGAAGACTGACTCTTATAAACGGACATTGTCACAAAACTATCATATCTCCCATCTATTCTCCTAAGGGCCCTTCTCCTCCTCCCTTCCCCTGTTAAGATGGTACATAAGCCCCAACTTCTAATCACCTCCTTGAATCACATTTTTATGTAAACTCTCCTACACGCGTGAATAAAAATCTTTTCTCTTGCTAATCTGTCTTTTGTCAGTTTAATTTGCAGGCCTCCAAAGAGTGAACATAAGAGAGTAGAGGAAAAGTTTTTCCTCTCTGGCAGTGTCATTCATAACTGGGGCAGCAACACCTCTGGTTTCTGACTTGTGTTGAAATATGATTCAAGCTATACACTCTAAAGCTACCTTGCTATTCTCCTGCTGGTCAAGGTTCATTCAGCAAATATTTACTGAGGGCCTACTATGTGCTAGGCACTGTTTTAGGAGCTGGAGATAGAACAGAGAACAGGGTAAAATTCTTGCTCTCATGGCTCCTATACTCTGATGCAGGAAACAGACAAAAAGCAAGTAAGTACATAGATTGTCAGTTGATGGTAAATGCTATGGAGATCATTAATACAGGTCTCAGGGAAACGGAGTGCTGGGGGGGCGGGTAGGAACAGTATGTTATGTGATCCATATAAATCAATTTCTCAGTATAAAATTCCAGCAGTATGTATCTTTAGAGACTCTCCCAGTTTTTGTTTTTGTTTTTTTGAATGGGGCAGTTGAGTTTTTTTACTGCTTTTAAAATTACAAAGGCACTCTATGCTGGTTATTAAATAATTCAAACAAAACATAAATATACTCCTTTCCTATCCCTCACTGTTTCACTGCCCACTGTTAACAGTCTGGCATGTGACCCTCCAGATTTTTTCTATGCCTATTCCAAGAAACATGTACGTATTCATATAGAGATGGATACATACTTAAAAAAAATCTCATATGGAATAACGGTCGATATATTGTTCAGTAATTTGCTCTCCCGGGACCCCATCATATCATGTGTGTCTTTCCAGAAACACCATGGCTGTTCCTCTCCATCGCTCTTCCTCAGGCTGCATTGAACGTCATAGTTTAGATATCACTCGTGATTTAATTAGTGTCCTGCTGCTGGACATTTAGGTTGCTTGTAAATATCCACTCTTAATGTAGGTCTGCAACAAACATCCGAGTGTGTGAGGGTTTCTGTAGGACAGATTGCCAGAATTTGAAATGCTGGGTCAAATGGTACAAATATATAACATTTTCACAGATATTGCTAAAGTGACCATAGCATTTAACATTGCTATGCTGCCAGCAAAAGAGAGCTCGTGTTTCTGCATCTTTTCCAACATTTGATGATATTAGTATTTTAATTTTTGCTAGTCCGTGAGGTGAAAAGCATTATTTTGCTTTAATTTGTATTTTTATGAGTGTTAGCTGAGTTGAGCTTCTTTTCTTGTTCATTCCTCG